CGACAGAGTGAGACTCTGACTCAAAAAAAAAAAAAAAAAAAGAGACAGAAGCCAACTGGGGCAGAAACAGTGCCCGGTGCATCTGACATTGAGTAGCGGTTGCCGAGAGGCCTGCCAAAATTGTTCCCCCTGGGAAAATTGGACTTGCTAGAGACGAGAGCCACGAGAGAAAACTCCCAGTGACACGATCGACACAGACTGAACATTAACCAGGGAATCAAACACGTGAAACGCACTTGGAAAGGGCTCGATCCCGGTGGAAATGACCTCAAGGAGAAAAACAGGGAAAGCAGACCATTTGTCTGCACTATGTAGATTAATGAGGACGATGACTTGTCATCAGTGGCGTTTGCCTTGAAAATACTTTCTAGGATGAAAATTCATCAGGGTGGATATCATTCTGATGAAACTGCCTGTGTTCACACACACAGAGTGTTCACGGGGTCATTGTGCAAATAAACGCCAGAGGTCCTGCTCTGGGCCAAGGTAAAACCTTCCCTCCCGGGGACCCAGGGCTCCGGCAGGCATTGGAGCAGGTTCTAGGCCTCTGCTGCCTTGTTCCTGAGCCCACTGCCACGCCTTCGTGTCCTCTTGAGTAAGAGCCTAGGCTGAAGCCGAGGGCATTCTGGGAGTGTTCTCCAAGATCTGAAGGAAGACTGTCCCCCAGAAAGAGCTCCAGGGTCGCCCGGCGTGGCCTCTCTGGGATCCACCTCAGATGCTGCCCAAGGCTGGCACCTTGAGACCCAGGGACAGGGTTCTCCTGGACCAGGCTGTGGGGACGGGGGCTGCCCAAGCACGCCCCACCCTGTAGCTGCGGGAAAAGCGTTGAGGATAAGGACTGGGAGCAATGCTCTTCTCCACGTTTACCAAATTGTCCAAGGCAGGGGTTTTAAGAGCAGCAGCAATGGCTGACACCTTGTGGGAGGGTGGGACGCAGGGGAGGCCGCCCACCACCTCTGACCCCGGGCACTCCCTGTGGGACCTGACTTTTCACGTGCAGCTGCCTAGACCCTGCCCATCTCACCCCTCCCTGCTTCTCCTTTACTAACACAGCCTGCTACATTTTTACAAATGTGTTGGTAAGTGAGAAACAGAAAACGGAAAATAAATAAAAATGAAGAAATACAGTGTCCTGTCTTTGTGTTTTTGCCTCTAGATCTTGTGTCTTGCCAGGAGACATCATTTCTTTTCCTAGAAAGTTTTTTCGTAGCGTCAGGGTCTCACTCTGTTGCCCAGGGTAGTGTTGTACTCCTGGCCTCAGCCAGTCCTCTTGCTTCAGCCTCCCAAAGTGTTGGGATTATAGGTGTGAGCCTCCGTTCCGACCAGAGGCTTCCATTCTAGGGAGAATTTTCCTGGTTGCTCTCCAGCAAGGAGCTTAGTGTTCAAGCTCATTGTCCAATCTTCCTCACCCCAGACCCACTGTCCAGTCCGATGCCCTTGGCTGGGGAATGGACTTATTCAGTAAGACTCTCATGGAAGGGGTGGGGACCAGAGGGAGGCACTTGAGGAGGCCAGCTTTGGCATCTTGTAGAGACAACCTTTGTATCAATCCAACCCAGCTGCAGCCTGGGCACTGTGGTGGTGGTGAGTTGCATGGCCACTTGAAGGGGAGGCAAGAGTCCTTGATTCTAAGATTCAGCCAGCCAGATGCTGTTGAATTCCTTTTACTATTGTTGTGTCCTCTTGTCCTTAGCTTTTACTTCCAATAGTCCCCTTATTGGAGGATGACCGTTGCTTGGGCTACTAGAACCCCTTGACTCACCTGTGCCGACAGCTGGATGTACCTAAGAATTGCCTTCCTCTGTGGTGGTCCTAGACCCATTAAGACAGGTATGCGAGGAGATTGCAAGTCAAGCTCTCCTGCTTTTATTTTATTTATCTTTTGTAGAGACGGTCTTACTTTCTTGTCCAGGCTGGAGTGCAGTAGTACAATCATAGCTTACTGCAGCCTCAAACTCCTTGGTTCAAGTGATCCTCCCACCTCAGCCTCCCGAGTAGCTGGGACTATAGGCATACACCACCATGCCTGGCTGATTAAAAAAAAATTTTTTTTGCGGAGACAGGGTTTCACTATGTTGCCCAGGCTGGTCTCAAGCTCCTGGCCTCAAGTGATCCTCCCACCTTGGCCTCCCACAGTACTGGGATTATAGGTGTGAGCCACCGCACCTGGCCCAAGCTCTCCTGCTTCTGGTCAGGACAGCTGGGAGATGTAAACCACATTTGAGTTAGCCTGTGGGATCCAATCGAAGCGTCCTTTGCAGGATTTTGCTTGAGACTGCATCTTTGCTTTGTTTCCTCTCCTTCCTTGTCCGACATCTTTGACTCTGACACTCCGGGATCATGTCCTTAACACGGCACTCGCCCATAAATCCTTGTTTCAAGGGCTGGTCTCGGGTGCCTGCCCTGAGACCCATGGTGTCGCCCTAGGAAGCAGAGTCTAAAGGTGGGGTTCTGGGCTCGGGCCACTTGAGGAAGCAACAGGGACCCCTTTGTTGGGGGTGAGTGGCAGTTACCCCCGGCTGCTGTGCTGATTAACAGGACGGGATACCGGGTGGCAGGGGAGGCCGTGGTTCATGTAGTGTCGGGGGCACTTGAGATAGGTAGGGGAAACGGTGGCAGTAGGAGCTGTGGAATTGGCTGGGTTTGCTGAGCCCAGTAGAGGCCATGATGACGGAAAACGAGGGGTTCAGGCCCACAGTTATAAACCGACGGCACAGAGGGACAGTCAGGAGGCCTCCGTGCAGCACTTATGTGTTCTTTTGAGTCGAGGTCTCCCTCTGTTGCCTGTGCCTGAGTACAGCGGCATAATGACGGCTCATCATGGCCTTGACCTGCTGAGCGCAGGTGATCCTCTCACCTCAGCCTCAGGAGCAGCTGGGACTACAGGGGTGTACCACCATGCCCAGCTAATATTTTGGAAAGATGAGGTCTCACTATGTTGCTCAGGCTGGTCTCAAACTTCTGGGCTCAAACAATCCTCTTGCCTCTGCCTCCCAAAGTACAGCATTTCCTTCGGCCAAGAAGACCAGGCTCAGGTGTGATGCAAAAGCAGAGAAACTTCAGAGAAGGCTGGACTAGACCCACATCAGGGCCCTGATGTGGAAGAAGTGTGACACCCCTGCTTTGGGGCTATCTGGGTGATGTGCCTGAGGACACTGAACCCCCACATTCCCCCCAACCTTCTGTGCCTGCGGAAGGAGCCCGTTTTTCTTTCTACAGATAGCAGCTGCACCCCCCCGATCACCACAACCCTTTGCCTGTAGACCATGCAGAGGTGTCATTGAGGCAGATGGGTTTTGAGGCAGCTACCTTCTGGTCTGCCATTTGTAGTGGTGAAACCAAGTTTCTGTTTTCAATATGTCTATTTAAGAAGCATATCAGTCAGCCTTGGTGGCTTAGCCTGTAATCCCGCACTTTGGGAGGCCGAGGTGAGTGAATTGCCTGAGCCTGAGGGTTCGAGACCCACCTGGGCAACTTGGCGAGAACTCATCTCTACAATGAATAAAAAAAAATTAGCTGGGCGTGGTAGCGCGCACCTGTAGTTCCAGCTACTTGGAAGGCTGAAGCAGAAGGATCACTGGAGCCCAGCAGGTCGAGGCTGCGATGGCCAGGAGCGGCCACTGCACTCCAGTCTGGGCGACAGAGTGAGACTCCAACTCAAAAAATAAATAAATAAATAAAGAAGCATATCAGTCACTTCAGAAAAATATTAATGCCAGGCATGATGGCTCATGCCTATAATCCCAGCACTTTGGGAGGCCAAGGACGGGAGGACTGCTTGATGCCAGGAGTTCAAGATCTGCCTAGGCAACATGGTGAGACCTTGT